AAGGAGCTGACCTCAGGCCTCTACTCCTTCCTCTTCTCTACCCATGCACAATTCTGCCAGCTCTGCTTCAAAGTGTATCACAGACCAACCAGTTTCCACCTTTCTGTCCCTTCTGGGTCTCTCAACTGGTTCCCCCAGTCTGCCCTCTGTCCCTCACGTACCCGGCCTCAGCCACCCTGTCTAGTCTCTACACACTGCCACACGCCCTGATGTACATCTGCACCAGGCTGCACCACCCTCTCCTCCAAACCCTCTAATGCTTTACAGGGCCTTTAGCTCTGTCTACATGCCAGAGAGCCAAGGCCAGGCTTCCTTGGGCAGGGCTGGCTATGACTACACAGCAGGAATGTGTGTCCTTTGCTCAACCACTGGCTGCTCCTCAGGGGCCTGGCCTGAAGAGGGAACAGGCACCACTTCTCCCTAGTACAGAGCACGTGTACACAGGGGGCCCACACAGCTCAAGTCTCAATAAATGCTACTCATCATTGTTTGGTGTTCTTATTACACAGAAAGAATTAGATTAAAAATGCTCGTGCCAACAACATACATGGTCAAGATCTGCTGTGAAAACGAGCTGTCACGAGACACCTTCTCTTGTACATGGCCCTGTAATGCACACAGACAACCCGTGCAAAACATGGAGGTGAGTTCTGCACTTCTAATGACAAAAAGAAGTTCCCAGAGGGCTCACCTGGATGGAAGAAGCTGAGCAAGTGAAGGCAGAGCCCTGCGCCCAGGGCGTGGGTGCTCCGCAAGGCCCTCTGAACCCAGAGCCTGGTCTGCTGGCTGCAGCAGCAGCACTGCTCCAACACTCCCGAGGTGAACTCAGTCACCCTGCACTTGGCGTTGGCCACCCCCAGACAGGGCCACACCGCATTTCTAATCTTCTAGCCACCCCAAGTGCTGATGATGGGCCAGCTTCAATTAAATCTTAGGGGCCCAATAAAAACAGAACAGAAATAAAATTAATCATTAACAACAAAAACAAGCAAACAACTTAAAAAAGCCCTAACTTTGGGAGTAGGGAAAATAGAACCAGGTAAACTTGAGGAATTCAAAAAACAATGGCTGGGGCACACTTCAGAATTCTGTTTCATAGTTTTTTAAAGGGGGAAAGGGAGGGAGGCCTGGATTTATACAGCAATTTCAGGCATGAGCCACGCCCACTGATAAAAACTATCAGACAGCTTGCATAACATCACTTAATAAAATCTATGCATCTGGCGGAGGGCTGGAGTTATCTATTATCAAGTCTCAGTACCATTCCTCTTTAACAGACTCCACTTCTAACCACAATCAATGCAAAGTGTGTTACAGAAAGTGAACACCCAGGAGACCTGCATGTTATTTGTTATTTGCATGTATAAATAAAAGGGGATTTGGCAAAGGCAGCTTTAGCGGGGACCCAAGGACTAGAGGTCCATCAAAGGTCATGACCCCAGAGGATTGACTCTTCAACAAGAGCTTAGGGATACTCATAGGTGCTGCCAAACTCTCCTCCAAGTACAAAAATGCATTTGACACCCCTGAGTTGCCATTCAGTTCTAGTGATGCCTCTCAGATATAAAATACTGAGCCAAGCAGGCCAAGAGGTGCACTAGAAAGTGGTGAACGACTCGCTACAAGACAAAGGGAGGCAGAGGCACAGTCACACACATGGGAGGTAGAGTGAGGCAGGCCAGCCATTTCCCTTAAATCCTGACACAGTGGGCAGTCTGTAGTACAGATGCAAGTGCGGAGGTCAACCACACACCAATACAGGGAGACAGGGTCCCGCAAAGCTGCCTAGGCAGACCTGGGACTTGTGGTCCTCCTGCCTCAGCTTCCTGAGCATGTCATGAGCATTTTAATCAACTGGATGATAAACATGGATTGCCAGTGGGTTTCAACTGTGATTAGTTGACAGTGACTGACTGAAGAGCGTACTAGGAAGAGCTCAGAGAAGGCATCTGGACTGAGTAGGCAAGCAGGGCACAGCCATGGCCCCTGCTGACCTCAATGTGTGGGAATCAGCCACAGCCACACACTGTCACTCACAGGGCAGGGCAATAAGCTTCCTCTGCAGGTCCTCCTTGCTCCTTTCTTTGCACTGAAGCCAAGAGATTTGGAAAAGACAGCTTGGAGAAACATTCATAAGTTGCCACACCAGTTCTTTCTATTGTTACAGAGTAAGTACAGTGTTCTTCTCTTTCTTTTTTTGTGGTGTTGAGGATTGAACCCAGGGCCTTGTGCGGCTGGGCAAGCACTCCACCCCTGAGCTATATCCCCAGCCTGCATATTCTTTTTATTGGATCTCAAAAGCCCTAAGAACAGTTTCTAGGGTCTATAAGTTGATGCACAAACAAGGTGTATGGCTCTGGGGCAGGGCCCTGATACTTGGGGCCTGTCTCCATTCATTCTATAAAGAGTCACGGAGACCTGGCACGTGCTCAGCACATTCACTTCCCCTGCCAACTCCAAATCCATCTGATAGGACTAAAAAGAATTATTAGGAAAAGCAATGGACTAATTCTTTTATAAAACGAGAAGGAAAGACCAAGATAGGATGATATGTGGTGACACACGTTCTCCCACTCCTCCTCCTCTCACAGCAGACTCCAGCCACCTTGCTGCTCGCTCAGCTCAACCAGTCATTTCTCCGCAGCCTTGGTCCAAAGGAGAAAGGAGATCTTTTCTCAGATTCAAGCTCCCAACCATGACTCAGCAGCTTTTTTGGACTTTGTTCAAAGCATTTACCTGAACTAACCTCTCACTTGCTGAAGATCACGGCACTCTGAATCCTTTCAAAAGTGCCAGCTGGCTTATCAATCTACCCCCCCCCCCCGTGTCATGAGGAAAACACATCTTGGGCAATTGCCTGAACGCACACCTCTCTGTAGGCTGCCCATCACCTGGAGACCCTGCTAAAGGGGGTGGCCCTCCTTGCAGCCTGCCCCTCACCACAGTTCACAAAGTTAGGGGTGCTCAGAGGCTCTCTCTAGCTGAATGGTGTTGGGTGCTAGAGGCGGCCATGCTGGGCTGGGGCTGGAATGGCCATCCTTCACCATGTGTGCGTCAGAATTCAGAAATGGGAAATGACCCAGGAGCGGGGAGAGAGCAGGCTCTGTGTAGGAGTAGGGTCATGATACAGTGGTCTTCTATTCTTCCCCCCTTGCAGCAGATTTCAGCTGCCCTGTTGCTCATTCAGCTTAACCACGGTCATTTCTCAGCAACACTGGTCCAAAGGAGAACGGCAAATAAGACCATGGCTATTAGAGAAAGTGACTTAATCTGCTACTCACAGAGCTTCCGGTGTAGATCCCTCCTTAGCCCAGTACTGTCAGCCCTTGGTTATAGTGTGGTACCCCAGCATCCTTTATGTATATTCCTTTTTTCCCCTTAAACTAGATCAACCATGTTCCTACTTGTAGTAACGAAATGGTGCCCAACTAAGCCATACAAGCAATACTTCCAAAGTCCTATCCAATCATGTATAAAGCAGCAGTTTTAGATAATTCAGAAGTTTAAAAAAAAAAAAAGTAGGGATAAAGAAGAGGAAAATAGTTGGGAAGAAAAAAAGGGATCTGATGGAGGGGAGGCTCTTAAAAAATTGAGACTAGATTCAGTTCAGGAGACATTCAGTAACTTCCACAGGCAGGCACACACTGTGCTGGGCACCAGGGAGTAAAAACCACACAACGCACACTCCTTGCTCACAAGCGGCACAGCCCGGCAGGGGCAATGAGGACGCCAGGGCTGCGACATCCAAGGCACACACAGGTGCTGTGAGCCCTGAGCTGGAAGGACTGGCCTCCAAGGACACCTCTGCGTTAGACAGGAATACGGGTCAACACTGAGCAGGGAGGCGCCCAGAGGCATGTGCACTGTGTAACAGGCCAACAGATGACAGGGAGCATAGCTGGCTCTCCTGGAAGAACACCCAGACCCCCTGCTCCAAGAGGAAGTGTCCAGAGATGGGAATCCCTCAATTTCATCTTGTACCTTAAGAGGTATTGAAACCACCTTATCTCGAACAGCACAGTCAAAAAAAAACCACTTTTAAAGAAGTTCTTATCTCAGAGATAACATCCTAGAGTAGGTAATAAAATAAGAATTCATAATATTAATTTAAATAAATGATCATATTTTAGAGTTATTTTATATCAGGATGCTAAAAGGTATGAGAAATATTTTATATAAAGTACTAAAAGAAGAATTTTTAAAAATCTTATAATGTTTTCCAAAAAACAAAGAAAAAATATAAATCATAAGCGAAAACAGTACTCTTACAGTGTCAGAACTGCTATCTTACTTCTAGGAATATATCCAGAAATAATGAAAATCATGGATAAAACCGCACATGCGGGCTGCGGCTGGGGCTGTAGCTCAGTTGTAGAGCACTTGCCCAGCGTGTGTGGGTTTGATTTTTAGCACCATATATAAACACATAAATTAAATAATGGTCCATTGACAACTAAATATTTATTTATATATATATATATATATATAAACCACACATGCAAAATGCTAGAAAGCATAACCAAAAAACCAAGAGTAGGCTAAATATCTAATGAGATGATTATGTTAGACTGCTGAAAGAATATTATTTGGGAAATAAATTAAGACACTAAAAAAAGTAAAGACTATGTAATAACAGGACTAACTATATGATTTTAAATTGGAAAAAGTGGAAATTTTTGTATACATGCTAATTAGAGCAGTATATACAAAATAATATATTTTACAAACAAGGCGTGAGAACTTCCATAAAGAATGATAATGCTGTTTGTCCTTTTTAAAGCTGGACATGTAATTCTGATTTCCAACTTTGTTCAAAAATTACCAGTTATGCATAATGTTTAAGATGAGTTGGAAAAATAAAAGAAGAAGAAGAATGATAATGCTCACATTACAGTGGGAAGATAACGAGTGATTCATTTTTCTGAGTTTTCTGGGTCAAGTTGTTGTATTTGTCAACTTTTCCAATGTTTCTCTGTGTTTGAAATAAAATGTAAACTCACTTCATCAGAAGCAGATCGAAGACACTGGACAGCAGCCTGTTTCTTCATCTCCTCCAGCGTCAGATCAGAGCACTTCTTCTTACTCTTCCCCCATTTCTTAGGAGCTCCTTTTTCCCAGCCCAGGAAGATGTCATTCTCCTACAAGAAGAAGGCACCCAGTTAAGGGACCAAGACTAAACAAGCCTCAAGAACCACTCCACCTCCTGACACATGCCTTCCAACAGGACTCCTCACAAATGAGACCCTGATGACCAGGAGGACACAGAACACTGCCAATCAGGACACTGTGGCATAACCCAGGTGGTACTGCCACGTAGGTGGCTTAGGGCTTACTGTTTATCAACTTATCAAGCCTGACCACTTACATTTATAGTACATGCCAAGAAACAACCCTAACGTTTGTGTGTAAACGAAATTATAAACAAAATTAAATGGCCTTTTATAATTCCTACTCATTGATATGGGACTTCAGGTTATTATTAGATTTTAAAACTTAAAAAATGATTCAACCCATATATCTATATCTTATAGTCTAAATAATCAACAGGTAAAAAATATTATAATTAGGATTTTGTTTTTTCTTGCTTATATGAGCCGATTATAAAAATCTAAAGAAAATTTCAAAAAGCAGCAAAAAGGAAAAGAAGGAAATCACCTGTGATCCTAACCTCAGTCAAAACTAAATCAATTAACTATGCTTCATTCAGTCTTTTTTATATGTTTAAAAAAAACATGCATGAACTCATACAACTTGTATAATTCTGCATCTGACTTCCTGCACAGCAAACCTTATCCTGTGTTGGTGCAGATGAATATTTCAAGATGTAGGTTCCTAGGATTGTCCTAGATGGAGACTAAGTAAGATATTTTATTGCTTTGTTATTTTATTTATTTATTTTTTGTCTTTTAAGCCTTTCACTTGAAAATTATGGTGAAAAC